TTTACGCCTGGAAAGCCTTTGAAAAAAATATTTTTTAAAAAATCCACGCCTGGAAAGCCTTTGAAAAAAATATTTTTTTAAAAAATCCACGCCTGGAAAGCCTTTAAAAAATATTTTTTAAAAAATCCATGCCTGGAAAGTCTTTAAAAAATTAGTTTTTTTAAAAAATCCACGCCTGTTTAGGCCTGGAAAAAATATTTTTAAAAATCCACGCCTAAACAGGCGTGAAAAAATATTTTTAAAAAATCATTGTCTTTTTAGGCCTTAAAAATATTTTTAAAAAATCTATTCTTGTTTAGGTCTGAAAAAAAATTATTTTTAAAAAATCCTCGCCTGTTTAGGCCTGGAAAAAATATTTTTAAAAAATCCATGGCTGTTTAGTCCTGGAAAAAATTAATTTAAAAAAATCCACGGCTGTTTAGGCCTGGAAAAAATTATTTTTAAAAAATCCTTGCCTGTTTAGGCCTGGAAAAAATATTTTTAAAAAATCCACGCCTGTTTAGGTCTTGAATTTTTTCAATAAATCCATTCCGGATAGGACTTGAAAAAATATTTTTAAAAATCCAAATTATTTTTAAAAATCCAAATTATTTTTAAAAAATCCACGTCCTTGAAAAATCATACTTGTAGTTTTTACACCTGTCATACCATCCTCATATATATTTCCAAAATTTGATACTATGTAGTTGTATAAGTGAACACCTTATTCATTCGTTACGATGTATTTGGAGCAGAAAAATGTTATTCTTTGCCTGTGAACAATTTTTCGAATTTTCGATGCACTCAGGTGTGAAAGTAAAAGCAAAACTACTGAAGGGAAATGTTCATCCTTACAGTAGGAGAAGAACAAGAAGATGTTAAGACAAAAGCAACTGTAAATGATCTTAAAAGAAGAATGCAGAAGAGGAAGGGGTGTAAACGTCTAATGGCCAGATAATTATGGGTATTAACCTCGAAGTAAATGTATGCTATATAAATACATGTGGATTTGCGGGCCCTTCTCTCAAGAAAGGACTTATGAAAATTACTATGATGAATGATAAAAGGATAAGGCATTTTAAAAGTAAAAGGGGATGCATATTTTTCAACATACCAGGATTGGCTAGCTTTACGAGGTTAAGCACAAAAAAAACAATAAAAGCTGGAAGGTTTTGTTGGCATTGTTGCGGTTTAGGTGTTGAATGTCTTTTGTTCTAAAATTAATACAAGAATAGTTGGTCTTGAATAAATAACCTCTCAATTATTTCCCAGAACCATAGAAGCTTTTGGCTGAAAAGATTTCCTGTGATTACGATTTTCACTAATTACCTCTTGATAGAGTATTCAAATATTTTTGGCCAAGGATAAAATGACACATACGTCCATATGTACGTACATCCAATTGTGCAATAGTTCTCTGGAAATCTCTCCTCGAAAATAGCATTTTTGGGTATTTAACAAACATCCATTGTTGTGATTAGCTGGTTATGAAACCACGAGATACGTCCATGAGCCGTTAGTTGGATATGTGTGGGTGGAGGGGTGGTCAGCACATTCTTATTGCTTATGTAAAATGGTAATTATGAACTGGCTGCTAGTTACGAGCAGGGTTGGACTGGCTTGGCAAAAGGGATTACGTGAAAAATAGTTTATTGAAAAATATCCTTGAAAAATATTCTAATTCATTTGAGAGTTCCTGAAAAAATTAAAAAAAATTGTTTAAAAATCCAAGTTTATTGGCCTGATGGTCCTTGGAGAAAATATTCTTTAAAAATCCTGGCCTGATGGTCCTTGAAAAAAAAAATATTCTTTAAAAATCCAAGTTTATTGGTCTATGGGTCCTTGAAAAAATATTTGTCGGTAGGTACTTGAAAAAATATTTGTCGGTAGGTCCTTGAAAAAATATTCTTTAAAAATCCACGTTTATTGGTCTGTAGGTCCTTGAAAAAATATTTGTCGGTAGGTCCTTGAAAAAATATTCTTTAAAAATCCACGTTTATTGGTCTGTAGGTCCTTGAAAAAATATTTGTCGGTAGGTCCTTGAAAAAATATTCTTTAAAAATCCACGTTTATTGGTCTGTAGGTCCTTGAAAAAATATTTGTCGGTAGGTCCTTGAAAAAATATTCTTTAAAAATCCACGTTTATTGGTCTGTAGGTCCTTGAAAAAATATTTGTCGGTAGGTCCTTGAAAAAATATTCTTTAAAAATCCACGTTTATTGGTCTGTAGGTCCTTAAAAAAATAATTGTCGGTAGGTCCTTGAAAAACTATTCTTTAAAAATCCACGTTTATTGGTCTGTAGGTCCTTGAAAAAATATTTGTCGGTAGGTGCTTGAAAAAATATTCTTTAAAAATCCACGTTTGATGGCTTGGAGGGTCCTTGAAAAATTATTCTTTGAAAATTTACGTCTGATGGCTTGGAAAGAAAAATCTAAAAATCCAAGGGAATTGGTCTGATGATCCTTGAAAAAAATTAAAAAAATCTTTAAAAATTCACATTTATTGGTCTGTTGGTATGTGAAAACATATTCTTTAAAATCCACGTTTATAGATCTGAAGACCTTTGAAAAAATATTCTTTAAAAATTCATACTTATTGGTCCGATAATTCTTAAAAAAATATTTTTTAAAAATCCACGTGTATTATTCCGATGATCTTTTCACGTTTATTGGTCTAAAGGTACTTTAAAAAATATTTTTTAAAAATCCACGTTCGGATGGTCTAAAGATAGGTCTTGGAAAAACATTTTTTAAAAATCCACGTTCGGATGGTCTAAAGGTCTATAGGTCTTGGAAAAATATTTTTTAAAAATCCACGTTCGGATGGTCTAAAGGTCTATAGGTCTTGGAAAAATATTTTTTAAAAACCACGTTCGGATGGTCTAAAGGTCTTGGAAAAATATTTTTTAAAAACCACGTTCGGATGGTCTAAAGGTCTATAGGTCTTGGAAAAATATTTTTTAAAAACCACGTTCGGATGGTCTAAAGGTCTATAGGTCTTGGAAAAATATTTTTTAAAAATCCACGTTCGGATGGTCTAAAGGTCTATAGGTCTTGGAAAAAATATTTTTTAAAAATACACGTTTGGATGGTCTAAAGGTCCTTTAAAAAATATTAAAGGTTTAAAGGTAAAGGTTTTTTAAAAAATATTTTCTGAAAATCCACGTTTGGATGGTCTGTAGGTCTTGGAAAACATATTTTTTAAAAATCTACGTTCGGATGGTGTGTAGGTCTTGGAAAACATATTTTTTAAAAATACACGTTTGGATGGTCTAAAGGTCCTTTAAAAAATATTAAAGGTTTAAAGGTAAAGGTTTTTTAAAAAATATTTTCTGAAAATCCACGTTTGGATGGTGTGTAGGTCTTGGAAAAAATATTTTTTAAAAATCCACGTTTGGATGGTCTGTAGGTCTTGGAAAAATATTTTTTAAAAATCCACGTTTGGATGGTCTGTAGGTCTTGGAAAATATTCTTTAAAAATTCACGTTTATTGCTCAGGAGGTCCTTGAAAAAATATTCTTTAAAAATTTACGTTTATTGATCTCTATGTCATTGGAAAAATATTGTTTAAAAATTTACGTTTATTGATCTCTATGTCATTGGAAAAATATTCTTTAAAAATCCACGTTTATTGGTCTCTTGATCCTTGAAAAAATATTCTTTAAAAATCTACGGTTTATGGTTCCGATGGTCCTTGAAAAAATATTCTTTAAAAATACATGTTTGAAGGCATGGGTGGTCCTTGAAAAAATATTCCTTAAAAATACATGTTTGAAGGTATGGATGGTCCTTGAAAAAATATTCTTTAAAAATCTACGTTTTATGGCTCTGATGGTCCTTGCAATAATATTCTTTAAAAATCCACGTTTGATGGCTTGGATGGTCCTTGAAAAAATATTTTTTTTAAAAATCCACGTTTGATGGCTTGGATGGTCCTTGAAAAAATATTTTTTTTAAAAATCCACGTTTGATGCCTTGGAGGGTCCTAGCAAAAATATTCTTTAAAAATCCACGTTTGATGGTTTGGAGGGTCCTTGAAAAAATATTCTTTAAAAATACATGTTTGAAGGCATGGGTGGTCCTTGAAAAAATATTCTTTAAAAATCCACGTTTATCGGTCCTTGAAAAATATTTTTTTAAAATCCACGTTTATTGCTCCGAGGGTCCTTGAAAAAAATATTCTTAAAAAATTCAAATTGATTGGTCTGATGTCCTAAATAAATTACAACATTTCTAAAAATTATGTTAATATTCCCAAAATATACCGGCCTCATTTTGTTCCAGATTAAGGTCCTAAATATCCATGATATCCCAGATTTATAAAAAACCTGCATTAAAACAACATACCTCAGCATTGTTGCAATCTGATCCCCGAAATCAATATACCCAACAAATCCTTGTGAACAAAATAAAAATTCTGCTACCAATTCGTGAAATGTCTTTATGGGTGTGTGTGTGTGACACACACACACATTCACACAAAGGCATTTGCATAGCTTAACAAAATAAAGGCCAAAGACAAGAAATACAAATCCTGCTTCGAAAAAAGAAGAGAAAATGTTTGTATTATAAATGAAATGAATGAATTCACATAGCCCGGATTCGAATGCCATCGAATAAAACACTGAACAGGAGATGAAAGGAAGAACACGGACAAGGGAAAGTAAGAAAATGCTAAAACATCTCGTCTTATTTTAAGAAAATTATTTTCTTTTTTACTTTGAATTGCAAATCGAGCTGAACGTTAACGTCTTCGTTTTCTTTTCGTGTAATACCTTTTGCATTTGTAGTTAAGCGTTCCACTCACTCACACAAACACACCTCTCCTTCAAGTTCCTACAGTTACTCTTGAAACGGAAAAAAATGCAAATTTGCTATTCCGTTTTCTTGGCGAATCCACGAAAGAAGAAAAAACATAAAAGGAAGGTTAAAATTAATTTAACATAAATTTCATGAAATGCACAAATTCTTGCAAATTGGGAATGAATTTCATTTTCTTTTTTTGTTTTTGGCTTCTTTCAGGTTTTCGATTGCCGTTATGTGACTACCACCAGCGGCATGTTTGAGGCCATTTGTAATCATATCAAATATGCAACCAACAAGGGAAATTTAAGGTAAGTTAATAAAATTAAGAGAACATTTCGAAATTATTATGCAGAATATAAGAAATGAAGGCTGTTGATGTGGTCAACCTAAAAGAGATATTTATTTTTTATATTAAATTGGCAGTTGCTCATTATCTTAGGTCGAAAAAGAGAACTTTTCTGCTCGAGTGATTGAAATTAGTTCAGTGGTGCGTATTTGGAACATTTGGGTATACGGTACCAATTTTCGTGCACATTAGGAAAATATAGTCCAAATTCATTGGATAAAAATATTGATTCAAAATTAGATAAAGGGCACAAACACCAAAGGGTCAACTTGCTAAATTTTCTCATGTGCGTGAAGATTAATTTTAAAATATAAAAGCAAAGACACAAACCACTTGTATTTTGTGTTGGTGCGCAAGGGGTTAATTCCATGGAAAATGTTGAATTGCACAAAAACTATGCTGGCTGCGTCACTGAGGCGGGTCTTAAATGTAAGGTCTCTCTCTGAAATCAGTTGGGAATATAAGGCATATATAGCCAGAAAGTACTCCTCGAGACCTTTCATTTAAGACCCGCCTCAGTGACGCAGCCAGCATAGTTTTTGTGCAATTCAACATTTTCCATGGAATTAACACCTTGCGCACCAACACAAAATACAAGTGGTACAGTTTCCCTACCGCCAACACCACTCTAATTATTCGTCCTCGTCGCGAAATTGTGTCATTTTCCTGTTAAATTAATTTAGGAGAATTGTTATTATCTTAATACTTATTAATAATACGTTGATTTATCCAAAAATGGTAAAAATCATTAATATAAAAAAAACTATTTTTCAATTAACCCCTTGCGCACCAACACAAAATACAAGTGGTTTGTGTCTTTGCATAATTTTCTCTTGGTCAAAATAATACTTTTTTCTAATCCAAGACACACACTCAACTCTAAACTATAAAATCCGACGTCCGAAATGTTATCCTTTCTTCGTCATTTTCAATTGAATTTCAGAAAAAAACTAGTTTTTCTATTTTCTTAAAAATCCAAATTTTAGTTATTTGATTTAAAGTTCATCTAATTTGGTTTGATATTCAGATAAATCCCTTGAAACTCAGAAATTTTATTTGAAATTCGGAAAATCCCAATTAAAATTCATTCCATTGGAAATTCGATAATTACAATTTTATATTCAGAATTTGTCAAATGAAACCCAGATTTTCCATTTAAAATTTAAATTTTAAGTTTGAAAATTTCATTTTAATTTTGAATTTTCCATTTCTTATTCAGAAATCGCCTTTGATAATCAAAATATTTAATTTGAAATTCAGAATTTTGTAAATCGGTAAATTCGGTGTCAGAACAGAACGACCGGTGTTTGATGGTGTGAAAGGTTGCAGTATTTGAATGCCATTTAGTTTTGATTGGATTTAATTGAAACTAATAGGGACTGAATTAAAAAAACAGGAGAGAACTCTATTTACTACCCATTAATTACCATTAGAATGAGCACCGATTTCAATTTTAAACCATTTCGACCGGAAATTTAGACGCCCTCCTTTCTGGAAGATTTCTATCGACACTTTTTTTACTTGACCTTAGGTCTCTTAGGTCGATCTAGTGATGTCCGTCAGTCTGTGTGTCTTGCTGGCTAGCTGGTGCGCACGATAACTCACGAAGGGAGTATCCGATTTGATCCAAACTTGGTACATCGTAATATTATGGTCCAACTTAGATCGAGTTGGTAGATTGGCACTTCCCTCCTTCTGGTACCTCCCCCATAAAAATTTTAAAAGGAAAATATTTTACTGCACGAAGAGAGAAAACATAATCCGATTTTGCTCCAACCTTGGGAATCTTAATATTTGAATCAGTTCTAGGTCAGGTGCGAAAATGAACAAAACCGGTCCACTCCTCCCCCACAAAGGGTCAAAACATTTTATAATCATAACTCTTATAAAATGTGATGTAAGAGCCTGATTGTCTTCAAATTTCATACATCTCAGTATTTTTATTAACCCAAACTCTGGCGTTAAAATTCCTTCGGGTGCCTCTCCCACAAAAGGTCGAAATTTTCTGCAGGGAAAGATTCAAAATTTTGAATAATCATAACTCTTATAAAATGTGATGCAGGAGTCCGATTCTCTTCAAATTTCACACACCCCAATAATTTTATTAACACAAGGTCTGGTTTTAAGTTGGAATATATCGACCCACCCACTCCTTCTGATACCTCCCCCGCAAAAGATCGTAATTTTCAAAAAATATATTTTCTGCCCAGAAAGAGAACCGATAATCCGATTTTGCTTCAACTTTGTAAATCCAATTATTTGCGTAAGTGCTAGGTTAGGTGCGAAAATTTACAATATCGGTCTACTCTATCAAGTACCTCCCCCACATAGGGTCAAAATTTTGAATAATTACAACGCTTATAAAATGTGATGTAAGGGTCCGATTGTCTTCAAATTTCACACATTTCATTATTTCTACTAACACAAGATATGTTGCGAGAGTGGGACATATCGGTCTACTCCTTCTGGTACCTCCCCCACAAAGGCTCAAAATTTTAAATATCCATGAAGCTCATAAAACTCGAAATTAATAGTCGTTTCCATTCAGACTTGACACATCTCAATACTTCGATCAGCACAAGATCTGTTATAAATATGGTAGAGATCGGACCATTCCTTCTGGTACCTTCCCCACATAGGGTTCAAGATTTTGAAAAACAAAAACCGCACAAAGAAAGCGAAATGAGCATCCAATTCTCTTCAAATTTCACTCAAACAAACATTTTTGCTAACACAGGATTTGTTGTTATTCTTTTGAACTTGCTATGTCTAAATATTTCTCTTAACCAGGAACCTGAAATGAATATTGAATTTACGATTTCGCATATAATTGGATATAAATGTTCGATTTTCTTGTAATTTTTCCCATACCAATATTTTTATCTGTATTAGATGAAGTATATCAGGTAAAAAAGCAGTAAATTCGGGCGGACCAAACTTTTAATACCCTCCACCATTTGGAAGGAATTTGAACATTTAATTCGTTGAAAAATACTATTAAAAATCTAAAAATACCGAATATAGAGAGTCACCATAACATTGGGGTCTATACGAAGACGTGGAGCTACACAGCAAGTTTTGTCATAGGCCATTACAATATTCAAAGAGGAAACTTGAAGAAGTTCGGTGAATAATGTCGCAAAAACATCACAATACCGAATATAGAGGAGTTGCCGATATATGGGGGCTATACGAAGATCTGGACCTGCGTATACAATTTTCTATCATGGGCTGAAGTACCCGTTACAAACTGCAAATATGATATATGAAACTATTCCAGTGAATAATGTTGCAAAAATCATCAACATACCGACTGTAGGAAGGTGCCGATATATGGGGGCTATACGAAGATGTGGGCCTATATGCCGAATTTTCTGTCACAGGCTGCAGTAACCATTACGAACTTACATTACGAAATTTGAATCAATTCCGGTGAATAATGTGGCTGAAATCTTCAAAATACCGAATATAGGGAGGTACAGTTAAATGGGGCTGTACGAGGAGATGGACCTGCATAGACAATTTTCTAGCCTAGACTGTAGTTCCCATTACGAACTCTAAATACGAAATTTGAAACAACTCTGGTGAATAATATCGCCCAAATCATCAAAAAACCGAATATCGGGAAGTACAGTTTTATGGGGGATATGCCAAAACGTCGACCTGCACAGACAATTTTCTGTCTTAGGCTGTGGTATCCATTACGAATTTCATATACAAAATTTGAAACATTTCCGGTGACTAAAGTCGCTAAAATCATCAAAATTCTAAATATGGGGTGGTGACGTCATAGGCTTTAGCATCTATTACGAACACCAAATACGAAATTTAAAACAACTCCGGTGAATAATGTTCTTAAAATCGTGAAAATATCGAATATCGGGAGGTGCTGTTGTATGTGGGCTATTCGAACCTATATAGACATTTCTCTTCCAGGGGATAAAGTGCATAGAAAGAACTTCTAGTATGGATTTTTGGATAATTCCATTGAAAAATGTGGATAAAATCATCAAAATGCCGAATATCGGGGACACCTTTGTATGGGGGCTATACGATATCGTGGTCCTATATAGGCAATTCTCTTTCAGGGGGTAAAGTAGTCACAGAGAACTCCTTGTGTGGATTTTTACAATATTCCATTAAAAAATGTGGCTAAATCATCAAAATACCGAATATGGGGAGGCACAGTTATATGGGGAATATACGATATCGTGTACCTATATAGACAATTATTTTTCAGGGGGTAAAATAGTCACGAAGAACTCCTTGTGTAGAATTTCAGTCAATTCTATTAAAAACAAGTAAAAAAACATTAAGTTCGGCCGGGCCAAACTTTTAATACCCTCCACCTTAGGGTAAAATAAACATTAGAAGAAATGTGGCAAAAACCATTAAAATGCCGATTATGGGGAGGTACCGTAATATGGGGTCTACACCAAAACGTGGACCTATAATTACAATGTTTCGCCACACGAACTAGGACCCATTATGGCCCACAAATACCAATTTTTAGACAAATCAGTGAAAAAATGTGGCAAAAACCATCAAAATACCGAATATCGGGAGGTATCTTTATATGGAGGCTATATCAAATAATGGACCCGTGCATGCAATGTTTCGCCACCGAAGCTGGAACCAATTATGACCAACAAATACCAAATTTCAGACAAATCCGTGAAAAAAATGTGGCAAAAATCATTAAATTACCGAATATCGGGAGGTCCCGTTATATGGGGGCTATACCAAAACGTGGACCTATAATTAAAATGTTTCGCCACACGAACTAGGACCCATTAGGACCCACAAATACCAATTTTTAGGCAAATCAGTGAAAAAATGTGGCAAAAACCATCAAAATACCAAATATCGGGAGGTACCGTTATATGAGGGCTATACCAAATCATGGACCCATACATGCAATGTTTCGCCACCGGAGCTGGAAGCCATTATGACCAACAAATACCGATTTTCAGACAAATCCGTGAAAAAATGTTGCAAAAATCATCAAATTACCGAATATCTGGAGGTACCGTTATATGGGGGCTATACCAAATTTTGGACCCATACATGCAATGTTTTGCCACACGCTCAGGGACCTGCTATGACATACAAATACCAATTTTAAGACAAATCCGTGAAAAAACGTGGCATAAATCATCAAAATACCGAATATCGGGAGGTACCGTTATATGGGGACTATACCAGAACGTGGACCGATATATCTGATTTTCAATACCAACCATCCTAGACACAATGCAAATAGCTCTGCTAAATTTTGGAGCTCTACGTCAAATAATGTGGGCTGTATCGTGATTTCAACAGACAGACAGACGGACAGACAGACAGACAGACAGACAGACAGACGGACATCGTTAAATCGACTTAGAATTTTATGCTGATTATGAATATATATATACTTTATGGGGTCTAAGACGAATATTTAAGGATGTTACAAACGGAATGACAAAGTTAATATACCCTCCTTTCCAAGGTGGAGGGTATAAAAATGTGGTTAAACTCACCAAAATACCGATTATGGGGGGTATCGGTATATGGGGGCTATACGATATCGTGGTCAGATCGGTGCAAATTTTAGCCTTATATGTTTATTCGTCTTGACTCAAGCGTGACAGACGCACAGGACAAAATTGTCTAACAATTTTACGCCGATGAAGAATATTTATACTTTGTTGGGTCTAAAATTATTATTTCGATGAGTTACAAACTGAATGAGGAATATAATATACCCTCCATACTATGTATCGTATGGTATGGTGGAGGGTATAAAAATTGTAAAATGATTAAAAATAACTTAGAAATCAAGGAAGTGCTTTCGTTTGGTGGGGTATTGATATAATTTGCCCGGATTTTCATGTTGTGGCTATATATCTGTCGGCAAAAATACCAGTATTTTCCAACATGTTACGGATTTCTCTTATCACCATGAAATGCTTTTGGTTTGGTTAATGTCTCTGTAATCGGAACATTATTCTTGTTTCCTTTTCGAAAGCTCATTATAATCCCATAAATTGCTTGTCCATTGTTCGGTTTTGGCCATTGTATGTGACCCATGATATGGCCATTTCCAAATTGACGTCACATTTCATTGTTACGTCACGGTGATGTGAATGTGGGTGTGTGTGTGTGTTTGGTTTTCTAATCAGTAGCAGCAGCAGCACCTGTAAAACACTGACACACACACAATAGACTTGGGTTGTGATGACCCAACTGACACAAAACGTATTGCCTATGAGTCATGGACAAGGTCACAGGTTCTTAAGCCGGTCGCAGGTCCTTCTCCCTGGCTATTCTTTGATTAGATTTAGGTTTTCTTTTATAGCAATTAATAATATGTTGAAATACATTGGCTCCCTTACCTATCCTTACACTTGGCCTGAACATTTTTTTTGGATAGAAGAGGTTTGTAATTGATCACATACTGAGTGAGATTTATCCTTCGGACTCTCCGTCTCTTTGTGTGTACTCTTCTCCCTGAGGCCCCAACATTTTCTTCATACCAAAACTGATTGGATTTAAGATTTGTAAGCATTTTCATCAAACCAGTAGCCAATTATACTTATCAATCATGCGAAGAAATTTTCAAAACACTTGAGCCCCATTCTCTGATTTTCTTTTCATTTATTATTTTTTTCTTTGGGGGAAAATTAATTTGAACATTAAAATAAAGAAATTGAATTTTTACATATAATTGCTTTTCTTCTTTTCTCTTTCTTCCCATTACTTAACAATTCTATATTCTGGAATCCTGAATTTTTCGTTGCTTGGATACTCACGTTCGTTGGCATCTTTAAACTCAATATAAAAATGCGGGATAAATAAAAAAACGAAACAACGGCAAATTGCAATTGGAAAAAAACAACAACACCACCAGGTCAGCTATAACGATATTTCCCCAGCGCACCGATGCCCGTCACGATTATCGCATCTGGAACTCACAGCTCATCTCGTATGCCGGCTACAAACAACCGGATGGCAAAATTATTGGCGACCCTTTGAATGCCGAATTTACGGAGGTAAGACTCGATATTGTTACAGTTATTTATTTTCATTTTCAATTCGTATTGTATTTTAATTTCTTAATGGTAATATTAACACCAATATGGCAAAAATGACTTTCTGGGACCAAAAAGGGTCTCAAATTAAAGTTTTAGTTAAAATATTAAAAAAAAAAATATGTATATCCTTGATTTTGATTTTTTTTCAAAATCACGGGAAATTCTTAGAATATTATGAAAGAAGGGCTAAAAATAGAAGACACATGTATCAGCGTAGAAATAAATATAGGATGTAGAAGACCCATGCATCGACGTTTTGACAGCACAGGGTGAGATGAAAAAACTGTAATCAACTTCAGACTGCTGTCATTTCCAAGCCACTTGTCCGACAGCTGTTAAAATTATTCCATTGACAGCTCATTATATTCTTTACAAGAGTACAAAAGCATTTTGGTGAGAATTTTCCAGAAAAAAAAATTATTCGTGATGGAATTCAAGCGTGATAGTGTGATTTCTTTCTATTTGGCTGGAAAACCACAAGTGGCTATCGTTAGAGCACTCCAGCATTTAAATGTGAATAAATCTTTTGTGACTCGTACCATCGCTCGTTACCGTGATACTGGTGGCGTAGCCCGACGTCAAGGAAGTGGACGGAAGAAAACAGCAACATCAGCAAAAATAGTTCAAAAAGTAAAGAAGCGACTTGATCGAAACCCGCATTGCAGTGGCCGAAAATGGCTGAACATATCGCAATATTCCATTCGGTAAATATTGAAAAATAAGATCGGGTTAAAGACATTGAAATTCCAAAAAGTGCAAGAATTTATACCGTAACAAAAAAAAATAGACTCAAAAGAGCTAAAGAGTTGCTTCGCTTGGCCTAAAGTGATGAACTGCCGAATTTGGTTTTCTCCGATGAGAAAAAAACATTCGTTGTCCAGCAGTTTGTAAACAAAAAGAGTTCAGCTGAAAATGTGCACCCTCGGTTGGCCACCAGAACTCAAGCGCCGTCAATGGTGATGGTGTGGGCCGCCATAACACCCGATGTTCGCTCTCCGCTCGTATTAATCGACCTTGGCATCAGAATAAATGCCGAATATTATCTCGAAAATATTCTGGAGGGTGTATTAATACCTTGGGCACGCAAACATTTTGGCCACAGACCTTGGACATTACAACAGGACTCAGCACCATCGCACAATGACCACCAAAATCTCCGGATACAAATCCGTTTGGACTATTGTGTCTGGAGTATTTTGGAAAGCAAGGTTGCCACTAAAAAATACCAAAGTGTCGATCATCTCAAGCAAGCGCTTCGCCGGGAATGGGCCAAAATACCGTAGAGCAACATTCGGGCAGCGTGTGCCGGTTTCATTGGCCGTTTGAAGGCCACGATTCGTGCCAAAGGTGACCAAACAAAAGTCATATGTTTGACCCGAGAACGAACCCTATTGCAATTGGAGATAATCGGTCAAAATGTAGATATAGCTCCCATATATATCTTCGTCCGATTTGCCTTTTATTGGTGCACAATTAAGCTTGGAAATATATACGTCAAATTTGATCGAAAGCGGTTCAGATATAGGTATATCTCCCATATATTTTGCTCATCCGATTTGATATTTTTGTCCTCCGCAGCCGGAATATGCACTCTGTAACAACGATGTTTAGGGAAATATATGAAATACATCTCAGAAATACCTTTTCCAAATTCTATCGAGATCGGTTCAGATTTGGATATAGCTCCCTTATATATATCTTCGTCCGATTTGCCTTCTATTGCGCACCAAACGTGTAATATTATGTCAAATGGGATGGAATTTGGCACATACGACCAAATTGAGCCTAGAAACAAGTATGTCAAATTTGGTGAAAATCGGTTCAGATATAGCTATAGTTCCTCTATACAGTATTCATCCGATTTGCTATAATTTTTATCTTTTATATGAAGCTCTACAAAATATCCGAAGGGGAGTAGGGTATCATAAAGTCAGCCCGCCCGACTTTTAGTATTTCTTTACAGTTTTTTAAATATGGATAAAACCACCCTTTAAACGGGATCGTAGCAAGTCAAAATATTCCACAAAATTATTTGTCATGAAATTCTACTACAGGTCTTAGATGTATACCCCCAAAATGTTGACGCTTTTTGTATAGAATAATCGACTTGTTTTGCAAGTTATGGCAGATATAAGTATTGAAAATTGTGGCCCGATTTGTTTCGCAAGTTATGACAGATATAAGTATTGGAAATTGTGGCCCTTTGTGGGTGAGGTACCAGAAGGGCAGATATATATCATCTTCACAACAGATCTTGCGTCGGATGCTTTTTTTCGGATTTTATGATCCTTTGGGTTGTATATTTGGATGTGTGAAAATTGGGAGTTCGATCCTTATTCGCTTTCTTCGAGCGTTTTATTTTTTAAAACCTTGAATCCAATGTGTGGATGGCACCAAAAGAAATGGTCCGATCTCTACCATCTTTATACCAGAGTTTGTGTTGATGAAAATTTTGATGCTAATTTCGCGTTTTATGAGCTTCATAGATATTCAAAATGTTGACCCTTTTGTGGGGGAGGTACCAGTAGGAGTAGGCCGATATATCACATCTTTACACCAGACCTTTGGTTAATAAAAATATTGTGATGAGTTTAATTTGAAGAGAATCGCATGCTAATTTCAAATTTTATGATCGTGTTGGTTATTCAAAACTTTGACCCTTTATGGGGGGGATACCAGAGGGAATGGTCCGATCTCCACTATCTTTATAACAGATCTTGTGTTGATAAAAATTTAAATGGTATCGGATGTTAATTTCGTGTTTTATAAACTTCATAGATATTCACAATTTCGAACCTTTGTGGGGGAGATACCAGAAGGAATGGACCGATATATTCCATCTTCACATTAGATTTTAGATTAATGAAAATATTGTGATTTGTGTAATTTGAGGCCAATCGGACACTTACATCACATTTTATAAGAGATATAATTATTCAAAATTTTTACCCTTTGTGGGGGAGGTACTTGATATAGTGGATCGATATTGTCCATTTTCGCGCCTGACCTAGAACTGATGAAAATATTAAGATTTATTTTAAGATTTCTATGAATTTTAGGTAGTAAATAGGCTTCTAAACACCCCTAACTCAAAGTGACCCCCCCGACCAACACAAGGGTCAATAACAATTAAATTTTTAACAACTCCGGCTACAACGCAAAAAACACGTGCAAAATTCGATACCAAAGCAAAAAAGGTTAAATGACTCAATATGCTCGCACACGTTCTTATCCGTTTTCACATTTTTCACAATTTTTACTTTTTTTTGCCTTCGAAACGTAAAAGATATTTACCGTAAACGGCTGCTACTTGCATTCCGAACTGCGTGTGGCTGTAGCAGCAGTAGCATCATTCAGATAGTGTGAATAATTAATGCAAGATAAATGAGTTTGCCTTGGGTTCAAATTACTCATTTAATTTAATTGACATACGATAGATAGTCAATCGGAAACAACGTGTTGGGTGGAGGATGGAGTGAAGTAAAGAAATTTAAATTTGCATAAGAAAATTGTAAGAAAAAATTATTATTTTTTTTGTCAACTATTTTTGGAAAAGTCAATTTAACAAAAAAAGTTTTTTTCTTTAAACGGATGTGACATAATTTTATTTAATTGGAAATGTATTCGTTGTATTCAATGACTTCCTTAGTCGGGGATTTTTAATAATTTTTTTATATAACCTTTCTAAAACTTGATTTTTTTTTCAAAATATTTTTCAATGACTTTGTGAATTGTGTTTTTTTTTTTTTTTTGAAAAATATTTTTGAGGATGTTATGCAGGGTGGATATTTTAAAAGATATTGAATATATTTAAAAATATATCTGAAACTTGGACTTTGAAAAATATTTTTTGAAAAGTAAATTTTTAAAAAATATAAGCTTCTTGAGATCTGCCTTCAAGTGAATTTTTTAAAAATATTTTTTCAAGAGCTGTTTTGAACTTTCTGAAATAGATATTTTTATTTCAAGGACTATCTGAAGTGTTATTAAAAAAATATTTTTTCTATTAGAAACTTTTTTTTTTTTTTGGAGAAATATTTTATTTCTACAGTCATAGGTATAATGCAACGTTATTTTTTGAGCAATATTGTCTAAAAGACCATCTGCAATTGGGCTTCTTTAAATTGTTTAAAGAATATTTTCGAAGGTCTATACAGAGTCTTGCATTTTTTAAGGAATGTGTTTGTTTGGACTATTTGAAAGGTGGGGGTTTTAAAAAATATTATTTCTAAAACGTGGATTTTTTTTAAATTTCTTTCAAAGGTTTTCTGGATGTGAATTTTTTTAAGAATTTTTTTTGGGTTTTTAAAGTATTTTGCTTTTAATGAATATTTTTCTAGGGCTTTTAAATTAAATCAGGTTATATAATTTAAATATATTTTTTTAATTCTAAGAAATTTGAAAAGAGAATCAGCTAAAATTGTTAATTTTTTTATACCCTCCACCATAGTATGGAGGGTATATTAAGTTTGTTATTCCGTTTGTAACATCTCCAAATACACATTTTAGACCCCACAAAGTATATATATTCTTGATCAGCATAAAATTCTATGTCGTCTGACCGTCTGTGGAAATCACTCTAGCTTCCGAACGAATTGAAGTAAATTGATAAAATTTTGCTCAAATGTATGTTATGTCTGCAGGACTTTTGGTATTGAAAATGGGCCAAAACGTGGACTTACGTTTTGGTATAGTCCCCATATAACGGTACCTCCCGATATTCGGTATTTTGATGATTTTAGCGAATTTATTCACCGGAATTGTTTCAATTTTGATATTTGAAGTTCGTAATGGATACTACACCCTACGACAGAAAATTGTCTGTGCAGGTCCACGTCTTCGTATAGCCCCCATATACCGGTTCTTCCCGATATTCGGTATTTCAATGATTTTATGGACATTTTTCACCAGAATTGTTTCAAAATTTGGTGTTTGAAGTTCGTAATGGATACTACAGCCCAAGACAGAAAATTATCTGTGCAGGTCCACGTCTTCCTATAGCCCCAATATAACGGTACCTCCCGATATTCGGTATTTTTTTTAATGATTTTAGCGACATTATTCACCGGAATTGTTTCAAATATTTACGTAGTATTTACAAAAAAAAAAAAAACATATTTTTTTTTTTGTTTATTTTAAATACTTTTTTTCGAATATTCTAGAACGTAAATTTTTAAAACAAAAATTTTTTACATAATGTTGAATTACCATGTCTCTTTGAATAATTGTCAAACTCTGCACACCCCCACAGCTTGAAGAACAAAGCGCTCATAAAATGCGAAATAAACATCCGATACTCTTCAAATTTCACACGTCCCAATAATTCTCCTAACTATGTCTAGTTAGAAAATCATGGATATCGACCTATCCTTTCTGGTACCTCCCCCACAAAGGGTCGCAATTTTCAATACTTACATCTCTCAAATCCTGCGAAACAAGTTCGAGATTCCTTTCAAACTAGGTATATTCAAATATTTTTCTCTATCATAGATCTAATGTTAATATAGAATTTATCGGTCCATTCCTTCTCCACAAATTTCTGCAAATGTTACACATACCAATATTTTTCTAAGTATTGAATGAAGCGGAATACTTCTGTCCACTGGTACCCTGCGCACCCTTCAACATTTTGCAAGAAATAAAGTGAAGGCAGTAGATGATATTGTCCAAATTTTGCACATTATAATATTTGACCCACTTCTTCGGAAACTTACCCTATGAAGCGCTAACAGTGTAAATAATCGCAACGCAAGTCAAAATATATTTCCATAAACGAACATAGAAGAAAATTTGAAATTTTAAAAATAATTGTTCCTGAATACGTGAGTTTTTGAAAACGGGAATTTTTGGAAAATATTTTTTCAAATTTTTTGTTCTAAATATTATATTTGAAAAAGTGTTTTTTTTTTATTTTTTTTTTTACATAAATGTGATTTTTGTTAAAAATCAGTAAAGTGGGCTTCTTATATATATTTTGGAAGATTAAACATTTAGGAACGTTAATTTTTTCAAATTAGTTTATGAAACCTTTTGGAAAATATTTTTTGGAATTTTTAAAGAACGTGAATTTTTTTAAATAAATCTATTTTATTTTTCTTTAACTTCAATTTCATCTCTCCATAATTTTTACTTTCCTTCTCATGTACTAACATTTCCTTCTGTTTCTCTATTTATTCTTCAGGTTTGCCTTAAACTCGGTTGGAAAGGCAAAGGCACCGAATGGGACATTTTGCCGCTGGTCGTCTCAGCCAATGGTCATGATCCAGACTATTTCGATTATCCACCGGAATTAATTTTGGAAGTTCCATTAAGTCATCCAAAGTAAGTTGGTAACAGTATTGGTTAACAGACACACACACAATCACACACACACACACACACACATATACAGAATATATGTAGGTTATCAAATATCTAAAGACAAGACAAATCACTATGAGAACACATGCACACACAAGATGTGTGTGTGTGTGTGAGTTCATCCAAGATTATTGTGGAGATATTACTAATACTACAGGTGTTTGGTCTAAGAAAGTGTCAGTTGGATATCTGTCGCCCTCTTTGGCCGGCATTCGTGTGTCACTTAGTTGTGCCAGATGTTTGGCATTTGAATGGTTTCAATTCGATTTTTATTGAATTTTGTGGTTTGCAGAAGATATTACAGGACACGATGGCAGAAAACTATTATGAGATTGTGTGTGTGGGTAAGAGGGGAACGGAAGATGGGGAATGGGGGATGTAGGAACACACAGAAATAGGTATTAGTAGTTTTATTATAAAAAGAACATGAGATTAAATTTTTGGAGAATTTAAAATAACCAAAAAAAAAAAAAAAAAAATAATAAAAAATTACATTCATACAGTAGGGGTCATAAGTGCGCAAACCAAAATGTGAGTGATTCTACAAAAATTATACTTCTGCAGTAACAAGAAATAATATGTGCCTATAAAATATCTCCAGGCCTTCAGGTTTATAAAAGACGATAGAAAATACTTCCAGACTATAAAAGAAGACCTCCTCCAGGTCTCCTATAGAAGAAGACCTGCTCCCGGCCTTCTATAGAAGAAGACCTACTCCCGGTCTTCTATAGAAGAAGACCTACTCCCGGTCTTCTATAGAAGAAGACCTACTCCCGGTCTTCTATAGAAGAAGACCTCCTCCAGGTCTTCTATAGGAGAAGACCTCCTCCGGGTCTTCTACAGAAGAAGACCTCCTCCGGGTCTTCTATAGAAGAAGACCTCCTCCAGGTCTTCCAAAGAAGAAGACCTCCTCCAGGTCTTCCAAAGAAGAAGACCTCCTCCAGGTCTTCTATCGAAGAAGACCTCCTTCAAGGCTTCTATCGAAGAAGACCTCCTCCAGGTCTTCTATCGAAGAAGACCTACTCCAGGTCTTCTATAGAAGAAGACCTACTCCTACTCTATAGAAGAAGACCTACTCCAGACCTCTTCCAGGTCTTCTATAGAAGAAGACCTCCTCCAGGTCTTCTATAGAAGAAGACCTCCTCCAGGTCTTCTATAGGAGAAGACTTCCTCCAGGTCTTCTATAGAAGAAACCTCCTCCAGGTCTTCTATAGAAGAAGACCTTCTCCAGGTCTTCCATAGACGAAGACCTTCTCCAGGTCATCTTTAGATAAAGACCTCCTCCAGGTCTTCTATATAAGAAGACCTCCTCCAGGTCTTCTATAGAAGAAGACCTCCTCCAGGTCTTCTATAGAAGAAGACCTCCTCCAGGTCTTCTATAGAAGAAGACCTCCTCCAGGTCTTCTATAGAAGACGATCTCCTCCAGGTCATCTATAGAAGAAGACCTCCTCCAGGTCTTCTATAGAAGAAGAACTCCTGGTCTGCTATATAAGAAGACCTCCTCCGGGTCTTCTATAGAAGAAGACCACCTGGTCTTATATAGGAGAATTCCACAAGGTCTTATATAGGAGAATTCCACAAGGTCTTCTATGGAAAAAGACCTCCTAGGGTCTTTTATGCAAGAAAATCACCAGGTCTTCTGTGGAAGAACCTTTAGGTCTCCTGGTCTTCTTCAATTCAGAGGACCATCAGGTCTTCTAAGGAAGAAGTTCCCTAGATCTTCTATTGAGTATCTCTTCAATTTTTTCGTATAACCCCTTCCCATGGATTATCTCATACAAATATTTAAAATTGCAATTCTGTTTAAATCTGTATGCATGTATGTAGTTCCGTTATATTTGCCAAAGTAAATGAATTTTGATTGTATTAGAAATTGATACCTTTTGATCGTTTACTTTTTCCATTACTGGCGTTATGTGGAGCACCTTTGGCCATTTGTGTTTTTTTTTTTCTTTATTCCTAGCCAATTTTCCTTTCGGCAATGTTCTTTCTTTTATTTGCTTGCATATCTAAATGCCGTCGTCATCTGCTAACATTTTCAATTATGGATATATGCAAAAAATTGGAGGAGAAAGAAATTAATATTTTTCTGCAGTTATGCTTTTAGTTTAACATTCAATTTCATATTCCAGAGATACTTGGTTTGGTTATGAAATTGTTTGGAATATTTATTCAGTACTTTATTAGGTTTTTTTGATGGTGGTGCTGGTGGAATATCAAACATTGGACACGAGGAAAGGTTGAAATTACAATTTTGTCTGGCAAATGGTATTAGGAAAAAGTGAAACACTAACGTTGTTAGCTGTATAAAATGTTATTGGTTGCCTGGATTATCTGCAAAGATCTCAGAAGTTCTTTAGCTCTGTTTTTGTGGAAATAAGACATCCTCTTGTATTTTTTTTTTTTAGAAAAAATTATAAGGTCAGACCTTGTCTTTTTTGATACAGACAAGTTGTTTTGGAGTTATGATCGGCTAGGCGGAAAGTTGCATTTTATTTAGTTAGCACCCAAATAGCAAAAGTACAGTCAATTCGGAGGGACATTTTTGCTTAAACTTTCAATATTCGTCAAAACATCGTCTAAGAACTTGATAAAACTTAATTTGGAAAATTCAACTGAAACCTTCAAAACCTTCTTTAAATCGGGTGAACCGTTATATAAGATCGATACCAAAATGCTGGACTTATTCCCTGTCCTTAACTCTCCTCTCAGGCGTGTTTATTGGCTTCAATTGCTTGATCAGGATTTTTTTTCTATTTTTGGTTCATTTGAACCCCTAAATTATTTGCGATCATCTCCAAAAGTAAGAGTCTCCTCTGTATCTCTAAATTTAAACCATCTATATGATTTGCTTGTCTACGATATTTGGCTATATTCGTCAACGAAATCAGCATAAAAAAGCCAAAAGTTCGTCTATTGTGTATTTCGGATATCGCCTGTAAGTAATGTTGGTATTTTTTCACACAAAAGTAGTGGTCCATTCTACCCGCGGTCTTAAATTCGAACTTCATGCAAGATTTCGTGTCCTTTGGTTTCTATTTGTCACTTTTATAACGGATGCAAAATCAGGAACATTTTTAGTTGTTGGTCCATTTCAACCCCTAAATATATTGCGGACATCTTTGAAAACAATAGGCCTAGCCCTTCTGAGCCTTACCCTACCCTTGTGAAAATTGTCGTGATAATCGGACGTTAAGGGCAATCTGTATATAATAACCCCAACCTGTGTTGTAAGGTGAAAAATATTACAAAATGTACACTTCAATATTATAAGTCAAATTGAAAAAATCGCATGCGATAAAAAATATGAAAAAATAAAAAAATGTCACAAAATACTACAAAATCTATATTAACATCATTATTGGCATATTTTTCTGCGATTTTTTTAGATTTTATACTTTTATGCCAAGAGGGCATTCTGAATTGACAAAATTTGTCAAAATCGTTCCAGCCATTCTTGAGATATAAGCATTCTAGCTAACATCCCCTTCCTTTGTTTATAAACATTGTATATATTTCGCTATATATATGCGATATATTTACTATTATATATAGTACAAATTTCTAAAACTACTTGTGTGTATACCTTCTTCCTAAATTAGATTTTTTATACGAAATTTTAAATGTTACTAAATGGTACCGAATTTTGTGAGTTTTAGTACATTTGTTACACTAATTGTTGGAATCTCCAAAAACTCTTTCGTTTCTCTATCCTACACAATATCAAAGACTCTCATTCCAAATTTGAGATTTACAGTCATATTCCTTCCCCAAATACCAATTTTAGTACTTTTTGTACTTTTTTAATAGATTTTTTCAATCCACCTCTTTATCTTAACCCAAAATCATAACATGTGACCCTAATACGAATTTCAGATTTCCAACACTATTCCTTTCTCATATACTAAATTTAGTACAATTTATTACTCTTGGTACTTTTTTTAGTAAAAATGTCCAAAACGATTGAATCTTAACCCTACAAAGTAAAAAAGACCCCAATACTAACATTTCAAAATTCCATCTGTCCACTGAAAACCAATTTTACCATTTAGTACTTTTCGTGTATTTTAATACATGTCTTCAAACCAGTTTCATTACATAACCCAACATAACAACAACTGACCCTAATAACAAATTTCAGATTTCCAAATCTATCCCTATCTCATATTTCAAAATATAGTAAAATTTAGTTCTCTTATTACTTTTTTCGTACATATTTTCAAAACCTTCAAATATCAACCTTACAAACTAACTGCAACCCCAATATCAAAATTTTAAAATTCCAACTTCATCCGTTAACCTAAACCTAAATTTTACCAAATTTAGTGCCACTTATATCAACCCCACTTAACAAACTTGATTTTCATACCGAATTTCCGAATTCTATTCATTCACATAATACCAAATGGTGCCAAAATTAGGGCATTTTAGAACTTTTAGTACACTTATTGTTTGAATTTCCAACAACCCTTCGCTTTGTCTATCCTAACAACATGAAAGCCCAAATTTTAGATTTTCAATTTTTCCGTCCCAAAATTGAGTACAATTTAGTGCACATTTTACATGCAGTACACTTTCCATAAAACACCTCTTTATTTTAGCTCTATTCGTTTACATAATACCAAATGGTATTGAATATATTGATTCTTAGTAATTTTCTTACATTTAAAGTTCGAAATTTTAAAAAACTGGTTGGTTCGTCTATCCTACAAAACATCAACGACTCTCATTCCAAATTTCGGATTTCCAGCTTTGGTATCCTAAATACCACATTTAGTGCCAATTGGTACCTTTCGTAGGTATTTCAAAATCCACATCCATATATCAACACTGCGGCGCAAAAAAAATGTTTCTAATTCCAAATTTAAGATTTCCATTCAGTACTTGTTGAATAATTGCAGTACGTATTTTGACCTGATCCTCTTTATTTAAACCCTAAACACCAGCAGTGACACAATACCAACATTTTAAAGTGCCATCCGTTCAAACAAATTGTAACAAATGTGGTACCATTTGGTACAGTTCTTCCAGTCAACCCCACTTCCCAACCCTGGCCAAATTTTAACATTTTACCTCTATCCCATGGTAAAAATAAGGTTAAGTCGTTTCGAATAAGCATTTCCATCTCCGCATTTTTTGTAATTTACCTTGTTAACGTTCACTGCCTCGATAACAGTTTTCAATGAATAGTTTCAAATAAATTATTTAAAATATATATATAAACAGATGATTGCATGACTTCACCTTCTGCAATGCTCTATTCGTTCACATATTTGGAAATTGTACCCAATTTATTACTTTTTAATTCTTTTCGTACAGTTATTGTACGAATTTCTAAAAAAATCGGTTCGTCTATCATACCCAACATAAAAGATCCTTATTCCAAATTTGAAATTTCTAGTCATACTCATTCCCGGATTTTTTAAATTTTTTTTTTACAGAGGTAGGTATCTGATTCGGGTTAGAACGGGTTAGACCCGCATCTACAAAACCAATATGGATAATATATATCGATGGTCACATAGGGTACAGTTCGTAGGATATATCAAAACTAAATATCTTTTGGACCCGGATCTTTTAAAAAAAGTCCCCCAAAAACTCGAAAAAGGCCCCACTTTGGGAGTCCACGAAATATATATGCCAAATTATAGTTGACACTATCACCATTCCAAAATGCTACAATATATGTTTTTATCTTTTTTGGATCCAAAGATATGGGTCTTATGGGACTCGGACAGCCCGATTCTGTTCAGCACATAGGAGCATGGGTTTTGTAAATTTGAAGCTATTTAAGGTAGTAGGCCTTCGGCCGGGGCTTGAGCTTTTTGCCCTGGGTATGTCCAACACCGACGACCCGAATAAAGTCTTTCCAAATTTGATTTTTCATATAAGTAGGAGGTCTTTGGTCGGGGCTTGAGATTTTCTACACTGGCCATGTCCAACAGCGGCACGCGAAGTAATGTTTTTATACTGGAAACATAACATCATTGTATGAGTGAAATCGGGCCGACCTGGTTCAAAGACAAATTTTTTGGATCCAGGAATGATAATAAAACAGTTGGTAGAATTTTGGAAAGGTTACAGTGTCAACTATAATTTGGCATATATATTTCGTGAGCTTCAAAATGGGTACCTTTCCATTTTTTGGGGGATTTTTTAAAAAATCCGAGTTCAAAAAGCCGTTAATTTTGATATAACTCCCGAACCCCTTCAAATAACCCCATCATGTGACCATTTGGATAGAATAGGTATTTTCATAAGTTTTTAAATGATTTATATATTATGCATAAAGGTTATGTATGTAGGTCCCGGGATAACCCGGTTCTTGGACCCGAATATTTGAGTCAAATATCCGGATATCCGGGTTCGGCCAAAAAAAAATAATTTCCCGAAATCAGGTTACAAATACCTACCTCTGGTAAAAATTTCAAAAAAATCCGAGTTTTTACTTAACTAAAGTTAAGCCTATTGATAGATAGATAGTTATTTGCTGGCTTTTTCTTAAAAACCAAAAGGATTGGGGTGACCGAGTCAACCTTAAACTCCAGAAAAAAATTCAGAAAAATCACCTTTACTCTTTTTCATATTAATTTTTTCCACTTCCAATTTCACTCGTTTCTGACCTAACCTAATTACTCCCCAACCTTCCAAAGAAAATCCCATTCCTTGTATTCAAATGTTTCAAAGATCCATATCTCTGGATCCGGGAAAGATAATAAAACATATTGTAGCATTTTAGAAACATTACAGTGTCAGCTATATATATGGGATCTTTTCCGACTTTTGGGGATTTTTTTTTTTGTAAAAATACGCGTCCAAAAAGCCTTTAATTTTGATATAAATCCCGAAACGCCTCACATATCCCTATCATGTGACCACTTGGCTATGATGGGTATTTTCATAAGCTTTCAAATGATTTATATATTATGCAAAAAGGTTTTGTAAGTCAAATATCCGGATACCCGGGTTCGGCCGCAAGAAAAAAAATAATTTTCCAACATCAGGGTAAAAATACCTACCTTTGGTAAATATTGCCCAAAAATTCCAGAGTTTTTACTAAACTTATGTTATGTTAGATAGATAGTTATTGGCTGGCTTTTTCATAAAAAACCAAAAGGATTGGGGTGACTGAGTCAACCTAAAACTCCAGAAAAAATTTAGAAAAATCACCTTTACTCTTTCTCATATTAATTTTCAATTTCACTCGTTTCTGACCTAACCTAATTATTCCCCAACTTTCCAAAGAAAATCCCATCCTTTGTATTCAAATGTTTTAACATTTGTTTTAAATGCCATGTTTTTTTTCTTTTTTGGAAAAAGAACAAAGATTGATGACTTTATCCTTGTCATCCCAACTCAAAGTGAATGACACCTTTCAAGGCTAACAATTTAACTTCAATTATGAAAAACAAATACATCGACAACGAAAAAAAAAAAAAAAATTAAATAAAAAAGGATAATTTGACAACATTTAAAAACCATTAACAATGGCACGGAATATAAAACTAACATAAAATTTATGGCCAGCTAAAAAATTGAATTTTCAATTCCATTATTTAATAACGAGCATAAAATTGAATTTCAAATCATTTGGCTAACTGATTTCCTTGCCATTTTGGGGTATTTCAATGCGGACGGAAGCTCCCTATTGTTGTTGTTGCTGCTGCCGCTGGTTTTTCACATATTTCAATTTTTGCATTTTTCACTTTTCAGATTCGAATGGTTCGGTGAAATGGGTCTGCGCTGGTATGCCCTGCCCGCTGTCTCCGGAATGCTGTTCGATGTTGGTGGCATTCAATTTACGGCAACCGCATTCAGTGGTTGGTACATGTCCACCGAGATTGGCTGTCGGAATTTGTGCGATGTAAATCGGCGAAATATTTTGGAGGTAAGTAGCCAGAGGGGGAAAGGGGGAGGGTAACGGCTATTGATATTTGTCCTGCCATGCAGAGCATAAAAATTGCTGGCCATTATGATGATCATTGTTTACATGAAGGACTTGACTCCATTACCAGTTGATTAACAAGCATTTAGGGAATTTGTTTTTGTTGGGGATTCGACTGAATTGGAATCATATTTCATGGTGGCTTAGAACCGCCGTACTGGGATGATGAATTGCCTGAGTGTTTGTTCTGCAGTTCTTTTTTCAATTTATCTTCTTTGTTTTTTTCACTTTCTGTACAGACTGTGGCATTGAAAATGAATTTGGATACCCGCACGCCAACCTCTCTGTGGAAGGACAAGGCCTTGGTGGAAGTCAACATCGCTGTGCTGCACTCGTTCCAGAGTCGTAATGTGACCATTGTGGACCATCACACGGCCAGTGAGAGTTTCATGAAACACTTTGAAAATGAATCGAAATTGCGGTAAGTCGATGATGGTACTTCGCCCCATAAGTCCCATAAGTCTTTTGTTTTTACTTATTCAAGTTGTGTAAGGAATGACAGCGAGAAAGGGGGAAGTGAGGAGGAAAGAAAGAAATAACATTGGTTTATTGTTAAGGGACATATTGATTTTTATATGGCAAGCATAATTTGTCTTAGCCTGTTGCGGATGTTTAAAGGATATATAACAGGGGAGTGATAGAAGGACGGATTTATTAAGGACCCAAGGAATTCAAGTGGGAATTTTTAAACAATTTTTTTCGAGGACCAATAAACGTGGAGTTTAAAGAATATTTTTTCAAGGACCTCCTGAGACATAAACGTGGATTTTTAAAGCATTTTTGTTCAATGACCTCCTGAGCAATAAACGTGGATTTTTAAAGAATATTTTTTCAAGGACCTCCTGAGCAATAAACGTGGATTTTTAAAGAATATTTGTTCAAGGACCTCCTGAGCAATAAACGTGGATTTTTAAAGAATATTTGTTCAAGGACCTCCTGAGCAATAAACGTGGATTTTTAAAGAATATTTTTTCAAGGACCTCCTGAGCAATAAACGTGGATTTTAAAGAATATTTTTTCAAGGACCTCCTGAGCAATAAACGTGGATTTTTAAAGAATATTTTTTCAAGGACCAATAAACGTGGATTTTTAAAGAATATTTTTTCAAGGACCTCCTGAGCAATAAACGTGGATTTTTAAAGAATATTTTTTCAAGGACCTCCTGAGCAATAAACGTGGATTTTTAAAGAATATTTTTCAAGGACCTCCTGAGCAATAAACGTGGATTTTTAAAGAATATTTTTTCAAGGACAATAACGTGGATTTTTTAAAGAATATTTTTTCAAGACCAATAAACGTGGATTTTTAAAGAATATTTTTTCAAGGACCAATAAACGTGGATTTTTAAAGAATATTTTTTCAAGGACCAATAACGTGGATTTTTAAAGAATATTTTTTCAAGGACCAATAAACGTGGATTTTTAAGAATATTTTTTCAAGGACCAATAAACGTGGATTTTTAAAGAATATTTTTTCAAGGACCATAAACGTGGATTTTTAAAGAATATTTTTTCAAGGGACCAATAAACGTGGATTTTTAAAGAATATTTTTTCAAGGACCAATAAACGTGGATTTTTAAAGAATATTTTTTCAAGGACCAATAAACGTGGATTTTTAAAGAATATTTTTTCAAGGACCAATAAACGTGGATTTTTAAAGAATATTTTTTCAAGGACCAATAAACGTGGATTTTAAAGAATATTTTTTCAAGGACCAATAAACGTGGATTTTTAAAGAATATTTTTTCAAGGACCAATAAACGTGGATTTTTAAAGAATATTTTTTCAAGGACCAATAAACGTGGATTTTTAAAGAATATTTTTTCAAGGACCAATAAACGTGGATTTTTAAAGAATATTTTTTCAAGGACCAATAAACGTGGATTTTTAAAGAATATTTTTTCAAGGACCAATAAACGTGGATTTTTAAAGAATATTTTTCAAGGACCAATAAACGTGGATTTTTAAAGAATATTTTTTCAAGGACCAATAAACGTGGATTTTTAAAGAATATTTTTTCAAGGACCAATAAACGTGGATTTTTAAAGAATATTTTTTCAAGGACCAATAAACGTGGATTTTTAAAGAATATTTTTCAGGACCAATAAACGTGGATTTTTAAAGAATATTTTTTCAAGGACCAATAAACGTGGATTTTTAAAGAATATTTTTTCAAGGACCAATAAACGTGGATTTTTAAAGAATATTTTTTCAAGGACCAATAAACGTGGATTTTTAAAGAATATTTTTTCAAGGACCAATAACGTGGATTTTTAAAGAATATTTTTTCAAGGACCAATAAACGTGGATTTTTAAAGAATATTTTTTCAAGGACCAATAAACGTGGATTTTTAAAGAATATTTTTTCAAGGACCAATAAACGTGGATTTTTAAAGAATATTTTTTCAAGGACCAATAAACGTGGATTTTTAAAGAATATTTTTTCAAGGACCAATAAACGTGGATTTTTAAAGAATATTTTTTCAAGGACCAATAAACGTGGATTTTTAAAGAATATTTTTTCAAGGACCAATAAACGTGGATTTTTAAAGAATATTTTTTCAAGGACCAATAAACGTGGATTTTTAAAGAATATTTTTTCAAGGACCAATAAACGTGGATTTTTAAAGAATATTTTTTCAAGGACCAATAAACGTGGATTTTTAAAGAATATTTTTCAAGGACCAATAAACGTGGATTTTTAAAGAATATTTTTTCAAGACCAATAAACGTGGATTTTTAAAGAATATTTTTTCAAGGACCAATAAACGTGGATTTTTAAAGAATATTTTTTCAAGGACCAATAAACGTGGATTTTTAAAGAATATTTTTCAAGGACCAATAAACGTGGATTTTTAAAGAATATTTTTTCAAGGACCAATAAACGTGGATTTTTAAAGAATATTTTTTCAAGGACCAATAAACGTGGATTTTTAAAGAATATTTTTCAAGGACCAATAAACGTGGATTTTTAAAGAATATTTTTCAAGGACCAATAAACGTGGATTTTTAAAGAATATTTTTCAAGGACCAATAAACGTGGATTTTAAAGAATATTTTTTCAAGGACCAATAAACGTGGATTTTTAAAGAATATTTTTTCAAGGACCAATAAACGTGGATTTTTAAAGAATATTTTTTCAAGGACCAATAAACGTGGATTTTTAAAGAATATTTTTTCAAGGACCAATAAACGTGGATTTTTAAAGAATATTTTTTCAAGGACCAATAAACGTGGATTTTTAAAGAATATTTTTCAAGGACCAATAAACGTGGATTTTTAAAGAATATTTTTCAAGGACCAATAACGTGGATTTTTAAAGAATATTTTTTCAAGGGACCAATAAACGTGGATTTTTAAGAATATTTTTTCAAGGACCAATAAACGTGGATTTTTAAAGAATATTTTTCAAGGACCTCCTGAGCAATAAACGTGGATTTTTAAAGAATATTTTTTCAAGGACCAATAAACGTGGATTTTTAAAGAATATTTTTTCAAGGACCAATAAACGTGGATTTTTAAAGAATATTTTTTCAAGGACCTCCTGAGCAATAACGTGGATTTTTAAAGAATATTTTTCAAGGACCAATAAACGTGGATTTTTAAAGAATATTTTTTCAAGGACCAATAAACGTGGATTTTTAAAGAATATTTTTTCAAGGACCAATAAACGTGGATTTTTAAAGAATATTTTTTTCAAGGACCAATAAACGTGGATTTTTAAAGAATATTTTTTCAAGGACCAATAAACGTGGATTTTAAAGAATATTTTTTCAAGGACCAATAAACGTGGATTTTTAAAGAATATTTTTTCAAGGACCAATAAACGTGGATTTTTAAAGAATATTTTTTCAAGGACCAATAAACGTGGATTTTTAAAGAATATTTTTTCAAGGACCTTTAGACCAATAAATGGGGATTTTTAAAAAATATTTTTTCAAGGACCTTTAGAACAATAAATGGGGATTTTTAAAGAATATTTTTCAAGGACCTTTAGAACAATAAATGGGGATTTTTAAATAATATTTTTTCAAGGACCATCTACTAGATATATTTTCCTCAATTTTCAATATTTATCATTCCAATATTTTAAGTTCCTATTGTTATGGCTTTATGGCATCAATTGTGCTCTGATGCCAATTGCCCCTAAGGGGCCATGTATATGTGGTGTTTTCCGAGTGGGCTTGTGTATTTCCGTGCATCCTACTTTGTGCGATGTGCTTGATTTGTAGAATGGTGTAAATCGTATGTTCATGAATGTGAGTAGTAATTTCGTTGGTAATTTATGTGTAAACATGTTCTATTTGACATTCGGTTTATGAGATGGCTCTTTATGCCTGTAATGTTGTTCTGGCTGTTGTTGTTGTGGACGATTGTTAGTGCTTGGAACATAAAAACAATAATTGAAGCCAGAGAATGTAGAAAGAGGATGACTGAGTGTCAAAATGGTGTTCAAGGATATTTGCGGAAGTAATAGTGGATTTTCCAGAGTTGTTTGTAAATATGAAGCATATGAGACAATAATCGCGGATTTTTACAATAATTTTGGCAAGGACAGTATAAGTATTTTCGCTTGGGCTTCCACTTGTATTGGATTTTCCAAATAATTTTTTTTGGCGGACTATAAGTCAAAATCAAGATTTTTTCCAAAAAAGGACAATAACACCCATAATCGTGGATTTTAAAAATAGTTTTTTTCATGGCCTATAACCATGGATAATATTTTTTCGAACACAACTAGGCCAAGGATTAATGGCTTATAATTGTTAATTTTTTTTTTAATTTATTGTGGATTTTTAAAAAATTGTGGATATCAAACAGTTTTTTAAGGACATTCTTTATGCCCAAACGACCATACTTCTTAACAAGACATTTTGCGGTACGACCATACTTTTTAACAAGACACTTTGCGATGCGACCATACTTTTTGACAAGACACTTTGCGGTACGACCATACTTTTTGACAAGACACTTTGCGATACGACCATACTTTTTAACAATACACTTTGCGGTACGACCATACTTTTTGACAAGACACTTTGCGGTACGACCATACTTTTTGACAAGACACTTTGCGGTACGACCATACTTTTTGACAAGACACTTTGCGGTACGACCATACTTTTTGACAAGACACTTTGCGATATGACCATACTTTTTCACAAGACACTTTGCGGTACGACCATACTTTTTGACAAGACACTTTGCGATACGACCATACTTTACGACAAGACACTTTGCGGTACGACCATACTTTTTGACAAGACACTTTGTGGTACGACCATACATTTTAACAAGACACTTTGCGATACGACCATACTTTTTAACAAGACACTTTGCGGTACGACCATACTTTTTAACAAGACACTTTGCGATACGACCATACATTTTAACAAGACACTTTGCGGTACGACCATACTT